TATTTGATAAATATCGCCTATTTACGGTTTAACTGTGCTTGAACTTAAAGAGGACCACCTGTAGGACAAATATCTACCCTGACAGTCGATCAGAGCATCCATCTCACATCCGAAACATTTCTCCCACACCCTGAGGATAACATTTGGTGGCCTTCTAACCCTGGACATGGTAATAGATGGGCGGATGTCAAAGCGGAGTCAGAGAGAGCCATCCAGGAATCCTACAGAGAGCCAAAAACATCTCATCGCAGCACAGGAGAGGCTGAAAGGTTACATTTGTTCGACATTACTGCTTGTTGGGTTGAGTGCACGGACTGGAAACCTCACACCTGCTGGTGTCTGAGGCTCAGGCAGACACAGGCTGTTTCATGTCAAAGTAAATCTGTTGGACATTCAACGATGGAGATTTTTCTGTTTCAGTAGAATAAAGCTATTTTCTGACAAATACATTTTCATGTACGCACTAACAGCATCACATGCCCATACAGGCAAACTACATATGATAGGGCTACATCAGAAACAAACGTCTTGAGAAAGGAGCTGTGTAGCTTTTTAGAGAACTTTTATGGTAATTCAACAATATACCACAGTCTCAGCAAGAAAAGGTTGGAAATGTAACATTACGTCATCACTCACCAGTACCAGTGTTAAGGAGACTCGCAATTTTAAATCTATCTAGAATAAAAAGTAAATAACACATTCATTCCAACATGAAAAAATAAAAACAAAAGACAACCAAAAATATAGTATTAACAAATCGCCATCATCCACCTTGTACATATGTTGTACTGTAATGCTATGTTGGGTTTATCATCTGGGATTTGACTTTACCTTGTAAAAGTAGATTTCATAATGGTAACTAACCTCATTAGTAAGATCATGTCCTATTTTAATTACAAAATTGTAATTTGTTTAAATAATGCATTTAAAAACATGTGTATCTAAATTTAGGAATATTAATATGCAGTGGTTTAAAATATACAGTATAATGGATCAATCAAGGAATTATGTTCAATCTAACACATGGTTCACATTTTGAGAAGTACATGTTATCTGAACAATGCACATTGTGTGAAATGGCTCCTAAACAGTAATCTGTCGCCATCTTGTGGCGAAAGAGAACCATTTTCAGACGGACCTTTCAATTTTACATAAAAAAATGACTAATTGTAGGTGCCAGGGTGATATTATGGGATTTCGTCATCTCATAGAAAGAGGAATGGAAATATTAACCGAATAAAATCCTACTTGGAATAAATTATACCTTGTTTCCTATGTGAAATGTCAACAAAGCATTTCACATTCCCTCAGCTAAACACTTGTCTTTATAACAATTAAGGTTGCTCTTCAAAGCTTTGTTGCTCAATGGATAAATAATGTTCTATACTGTGCTAATGTGAAATCAGATCTATTGGAGTAACTTTAAACATTACAATATTGTTTCTATTAGACTAGAGGTTTGTGATCTTTAAAGGTCCCATGTCATGGCCATTTCTACTGATCATAATTCCATTGTTGAGGTCTACTAGAATAGATTTATATTGTTCAATGTTCCAAAATCACATTGGTTTCTCATACAGCATCTCTGTATAGTATGTGTATTCACTCTCTGTCCTATATGCCTTGTTGGAGCTCCTGCTGAGTGAATGTGTGTGTGTGTGTGTGTGTGTGTGTGTGTGTGTGTGTGTGTGTGTGTGTGTGTGTGTGTGTGTGTGTGTGTGTGTGTGTGTGTGTGTGTGAGGAGCTCCACAGATTGGTTAGACCTGGGTATCGTTACGTCACTATACTCAGGAAGAAAAAAATGGAAAAATAAAAATCTCCAACGAGGCGTTCTGGGGCAGCATATATTTTCTGTGTTAGAGTTTTACTCGCTACAGGGTGTACTTTGAGGGTTTGTGACTCTGCAGACCGTTTACATGCAGAAAAAGCTACATAACACACAAAGGGACAGGTAATAACCAGAAAAGCATGACCTTTAAGGTTAAACAACGGAGATGAAAACTTAAAGAAAACTGTGATGGAAGTGATCTGAATAAAAACATGAGAAAATGAAGATAGGAGGTTATTTTTCACTTCCATGACTTGTTTCTCTGTGATGCTAATGATAATTACCATGCAAATGAGCCCTGGGAGCTAAATAGAGCCATCGTGGTTCTTTGTTAATAATTACTGTGGAACATCATGGTTATAAATGACATCTTCTGGGTACCAGACAGGATAGTAATTGGGGTTGTGACTAAAGAACCCTTTTTTTGTTCATGTTTTGTGTATCAGTTCCCAGGGGAGAGTGATACATAATGGGAAGAGAAAATGATCCTAATTGCGAATATATTTTTAATCTGATGTAGTACCCCTTAAACAATGCCTTTCCTGCATTTAAAAAAGCTTAATAGTCAAAGCGTTTAGTGTCTGCTCTTCTTTCTTAAAATAATACAACACGGAAAACTGGACGACAGGATTTGTATCCAACATTTATGCACGATGATTGATGATACAAAAATAGATACATAACATCGGATTATGTATACAGTATGGTGTGATGTTTAAAGGAGAGCACTTTGGACAAAATACTTTGAAAGTTATGAATGTTTGAAAAAAACATTATTTTTGAACATTGGGCTAAGTAGGATTCAGTACTTCAGAAAGGTGAATTAAAAGCAAATATGATATGCTTAAAAAGATTCAGACCAACACAAATTGTTTTGATACTGTGAAAATGTAATTAGTCTGAAAGGAACTGGTTCAACACTAATCACGTTATGATGGTCTTGTGTTAGAAGTTACATGTTAAATGCAGCTAAGAAGCTGTGTGTTCTTCTAGAAAACCTCCGAAGGACTAGCTCACTCACAAACAGTTACAAAACCTCACCATTTAAACACACGAGCTGCTCTGCATGAAATACCACAACAAGAATATGCAAAACTGTTTCCACCAGTTGCAACTTTGTCAAATGTTGATCAAGCCATTTAACAGCATAAATAGTGCATACTGAAAACGGGTTTAAATGCCTCACACCCCAAACGCCAAAAATGATACATCATTTTGACATCAGGCACACAAGCTGGACCAGCATATTGCCTGCAGTATTTCCTCATCACAATGCAAGTATTTATGTATACAGTATATGTTACGGACACAGTAGGCTACATTGAAATCAGATGTGATAAATTTATGTTTATGTTACTTGCCAAATAAAAGAGTAGGGATGTCACCATGTCTGAATCCTGCAGCGGGAACACACTGGAGCTGCAATCCAAGGAAAATTAACCAATGTTATTTTATAACAATTGTTGCAACAAACTCAAAGAACAGAGCCACATGTTAGCTTGTATGGCTACACAATCATGTACTTTTTTTAAATGTACCCCTAATAGTTTTTCTGTAAAAAATAGTTTGTTAGAAATGCTGCACTTAAGACTTCCAGTTTAGAAATACCTGTTTTAAATGAATATTTTAAGTGTTACTTGAAAGACATAGCCTACGCTACATTTGTACAGAAGCATTTAAAAGCTAAAATGACAACAATTAGGCTACATTAGCGTGTTTGAGGGAACAGCTAACACGCAGAGGTGACTTGTTTGCTACTTCCGCGCTGCTTCCGCTAATCTGGACGCAATTACCATATTTGAAAGTTTACACAAAATAAACCGTTTTTATTTATTTAAATAATGTAATTGACTGCAGCAACATATTTGTAAACAAGCTAGATATACAGCGGAAGTTCTTCTTAAAATAATAGTTATTTTGATATCATTGTAGGTAGTGCTGTTACGTATTGCGCCGAGGCTTCGGAGCGTGCGTCGAGTAGCCTAACCACCAACGTTTTTATGAAGCTTGTATCGAGGCTTGTATCGCTTTGGGCCAGTGACGTCACCGATGACAATCGAAGCTGCCCCTCAATACCACGTGACTGCTTCAGAACGTGCTTTTGATCGGTTGAAACCATAGGTTGAACCCATGAACCCCTATGGTTGAACCACAACGCTCATATTACCCATGGATGTATAATAAGAACCTGCAGCATACAAATCCCTCTTTGCAATGTTTACCAGCCTCTTTAGGCTTTTCAATCACAATCATTAAACTGGAATAAATACAATATTGTTAACATGAAAATATGATTTAATGTTCGTTGTTTAGAGTTATTCTAAGGCTTTACTCATTGGGAACTCGGTATGAGATAGAGCACACTGTTGTTGAGATGTCAAATCTGCCTGTTTTACACACTTTGACCAACAGGGGGGTTCAAATGAAGCCTCATGAGATGAACCCTTTTGAGAACCAATTGGCTGGAAAGCTTCAAAGCTTCATAAGGCTTCATCTCTCCAAGCTTTTTACAAAGTCTAAACCAAACAGATATCTTTAGGTTTGTGTGCATTGATTTTACAAATGTGTTGGTTTTTTTATTTACTTTTGAAATTATGTGCTTTCTTATCCAAATCTCAATTAGTAAGGATGTGTTTTCGCACATTTATAAAAGATTGACCAATATGTGGGCACTAAATGGTTATATGGAAAATAAATGTTGTATTTTACTTTTATTCATCACTATGTCTGTCATATGAACTGAGTGTATTCATTTTTGGATTTTTCTGGTATTCCAAAAGATGGTTATTACTGACTAAGTGTACATGGTGGTCCTCACAATAAAATAAATTGAGAATGTAATGAGGCCCAGCTTTCACTTGTATCCACGTTTCTGTAATGGGTAATCTATAAACATAATGTTGAAGCTGCAGTCAGGGAATCTCATCATTTGCCGAAGTGAGAGCATATTTCACAACAGGCCTTTTTAATGGTGAGAAGAAGAGATGATTCAAAACATATGACTATATTTGAAAATCATACAGTATGTTCAAACCATGTGAAACAGCAAACATGACAATCAGATTTTTGGAAGTTAAAAAACCAAACATGTTCAGTGTAAGCTTCAGCAAAAGGAGGTTTATATAAATACCAGATTGATTTGTTTAAAAAAAAAAACAGACATAGAAGACACTGTATTAACCACTACATTCTTTATTTGATAAAGTGCAACAACCAACAATGACTCAAATCAACCACATCTTAGTTATTGGTCATCACCTGGGGAAAAAAAGAAAACATAACATGAATATTTTTAAAACACTCCACTAGAGGGCAGTAGAGCATTGTAACTCATCTCCACTTAACTCTTCTGCGCTATTTAGTAACTCAAATACAAAGATGATCATTAGTGTGGTATTTCATAATTTGCATAATTTATGAATCATTGTTTCAATTTTCAGCTAACATAGGGTTTTCCTCTTTTGAATACAGCAATTTCTCTGAATTGCGTCTAATTTCAAAAATCACCATGAATGGTTCAAGGTCTTTCTGTGTTATTTGAGTTGTATGCTGTCCTTAAAACAGTAAAAAGAGACATTTTAAAAAGGGTACACGTTGGACATCTGTTTGCCCGAGACAACAATGAATACGTATTTAATGTACATTGGGATTCTTTGTACAAATACTTTACTGTCCAATGCATTATCACTCACGTTGTTGATCCAGGCGATGTAGGCACTGACCCTGGTGAAGACGGAGGGCTTCTTGGCGTAGTTGCAGCCCATGCTGGAGCCGAAGCTCACCACACCGTGGACGTCCCAGGAGCCATCAGAGTTCTGACAGTTCAGAGGACCGCCGGAGTCTCCCTGTAGTGGCACAGAGACAAATGTACTATTTTGCAAAACAATTTACATAAGGTGGCATATGCTTTTAGAAAATGACATGTTGAACTACTGTAATTATAAATTAGATGAGTTTGTAAAATAATATGAATCAGACTCACGTTGCAGCTAGCCAGCTGTCCGTCTCCTCCTGCACAGACCATGTCGTTGGTGACCAGGCTGCCCCACCAGTCAGGCTTGGAGCAGTTGGAGTGGCTGATCACAGGGAGGAGGGCCTGCTGCAGGATGTCAGCGACGGGACCTCCAGCTTTAAGAGAGAACAGGGTATTGAGATTCTGGGATGACCAAGACCAGTTTATACATGATTTATTCTAAAAAAAAATAGCTCAAATTGATAGCTTTTTTATTCAAACATGGGCAAAAAAACAAGTTTCTTAAAGATTGTTAAGTTTTGCTAGGAATATCAGAGAATATTAACTCCAAATGTATTTTAAAACTGAAAGTAGAAGCTGGAATAAGTTGCTGTGCTCACACAACTTTGAAAATATGTAAGAACATTTTTATGTTTAAGAAAATGTATAAAGAAAGTGTTATTAGACAGTGTGAAGTTGATTTTTGATTATATTCTGGTTTTATGTTTCATTTTTTGTAAGCGCCTGAAAGAATATTGCTTTTATTTGACTTTTTAATGGTTATTTCATTTTATTTATTTTTTGTAAGTAGGGGCAGGAAAAATAAGATTTTCTTCTCCCTGCTCCTTTCCACCATGCGCTAAAAAACCAGTATAAGTGTAGATGTTTTGTAAAGTGTTCATGTTTTGTTTTAAAATAACTGCCATGTGTGGAATAAACAAATAAAAAATAAAAAATAAAAAAAATGAAATGTATACAACTTTAAAGATATGAGACATCATTGTTGCCAGTCTTGGTTGACAGCTCCTTTTTATATATATATAGGACTTACTCCAGAGACGACCCCATCCGGTGACGTAGCAAGGAGAAGCGTTAGGCAGGATGTCACCAGAGTTGGGGATACAGGCAGCCATGATGGCATCAGAGAAAGTGACAGGGGTTGCCAGCTTGATCAGGGCGATGTCGTTACTATGGCAGGAATGTAAATACCACATACAGAAACAGAATGTTAATGAGCATTAATAGCATGGACAGGACACTAGCATAGTCTATAAGATAGAGGAACATTATTAAGCCCACCGGATTCTGTAGGTGTCCCAGTTCTCGTGGACGACGATCTTGGAGGGGCTGATAGCGATGGAACCATCCTCGTTGTTGTTCTTCAGATTGTGTTTTCCCAGGTAGACTCTGTAGGTGCGACTGCTGCTTGGCCACAAAGAAACACAGAAACAAATAACAGTTACTCTGTTCAGGGTTCTATTCAGCTTAAAATAACAACAAACCTACTCATAGCTATTACTACTTGTACATTGCTACTGTATCAGGACATCTGCTGCAAACATAGCATTCACTTAACTTTGAAAGTGTTTAAATTAGTAGTGCGATTGTAAACTAAAAGTGTGATTACCTATTCTGATTTCTATAAAATATCTTTCTCTTAAATTATGTCATAGAATAAAACAATGCTTCATGTCTGGTGAAACAGTAAAACAATATAACAAGTTTTAAATTATCTGGTGCCCCTTTTAAAGAAAAATGCATATATACTAACAATCAGTGACCACAGTTCAAATCTTACATACCAGACTGCAGTAAATTAACTTGTTTTTACTTCCATACTGCCTCACTCATCCTGTCTACTAAGTGGCTTACCTGGCTCTCTCTGTCCCCTTTGCCTTTATACCTTCTTAATTTTAGATTTCTTTAATTTTTTTAACATACCTGATGCAGTGAGCAGCAGTGAGGACCCATTCTCTGGAGATCAGAGTGCCACCGCAAGTGTGGTAGAAGCTGCTGCCACTCTTGAACTGCAGAGACACCTGAGAATAACACACAGTGACATGTTTAAAGACTTTAGGGAATGAATAGATGTTTAATGAGAAGTCTTAAAGGGGCATACCTGCCAGGGCCAGCTGTGCTCACGGACATCATCTCCACCAACCACCCTGGTGATGGTGGGGGTGAAGGTGGGCAGACCACACCCGTAGGCTAATGAACAAAAGTACAGAATATAGTGATTTTATGATATAAACTCTTTATCTTTAACCGTCAAAAATGTTTCAAAGTAGTTTTTGGCATAAGGATAAAACGTGATTTCCTCAAACTTTGCTACAACTTCGTGTTAAACAAATGTACACAGTTGATTAGCAACACATTTACTCGTCCTATCAGAATCAGTTTCAGAGCTTACCACCAGCGACAAACAAAACCAAGATCACGAATTTCATTGTGACTATTTTCAGTAGAGATTCAGGGAGACTTTCTCCTCCTTATATAGCGCTTGAACATACCCCAAATGTGTTACTTAACATTTGCCTCAGAGCAGCCAGGAAAAGTTGTTACTTATTGTTGGAGATAAGTAACCACAGATATCCCCAAATACACCTTATCTCCCAAAACTGTGTGTGAACCTCACAGATGTCTCACTGTGACCCAAGCTGGTCAAGACTTTCAACTGAAAACATATATGGTGGTTATAAATGCATTTAAAAAACAGTCAGTCTACCCGCCTTGTTATGTCAAAAGAAAACATCTTATTTTTTTATATCTGAACATTCACAATGTTCACTTATATAACATGGAGTTGCGAGGCTTATAAAGCAGATCTGATCGGTGAAACAGAAACTCTGCTTCAAACATATTTGACTGTCTGTTTGCATATTTAAGCACTTTTTCACATTTATATCACATAATTGTTTTAATATGATATGCTGTTTGCACATCAAACACTTAAGCAGCAAATAGAACAACATTATTGTTTTGAAGAGGAAATTATTAGAATGACTATGTTTAAGTAATATTTAAGCTAGTTTGGGAATGAATGTTTATTTGATTAAAAGTTGTTTTTATATTGTTACAGTGGTTTTGGTTATGAAAAGCTTTATTTTTTGCACACTTTAAATGTAAGAAATGTGTTTTATGTAAAGTCAGAAATATTGTCAACTGTTGATGAAATACACGTGTCGATATGTCAATCAAAGCCAGATCAAATCAAACCAAATGAGCAGACTTGTATATGCAAGCACTACATTCATTGTATTAATGACTTTGAATTGCTTGATTGTATTTGAGTACTTTACAGTCACAGGAAATTGAATCTACTGTAGGAGGCATATTTTTTTGTAAGGGAACTCAGAGTAGGGAGACTATACTTGATATAAAGTAAGGCTCTTTGCGTCAACCAAAACTCTCAATTTGTTCAACAAACCTAAAATTAAACATAACTTCAGGACGGTTCAGCGTTGGCCTAGTAATTCTGGTAATTTCTTGCCGTTTTGTTGTCGGTGCTGTTCTCTCCTCCCCAGTATCGAAAGGTAATGTTGAATGTTAAATGGACTATATTTCCAGTCTTTACGGCCCCTCAATGTGCTTTTAAATGTACGAGGCAGCATCACCCATTCTTACACATTAATAAAGAAATTAATCATTTAAATAAAATTCAAGACTGCCTCAAGGACTTAAAAACGTGGATGACCTTAAACTTTTTGATGTTAAACACGACCAAAACTGAAGTTATTGTACTTGGCCCGAATAATCTACGAAACAAATTATCTAAAGATATACTAACTATGGATGGCATTAATTTGGCCTCCAGTGAGACTGTAAGGAATCTTGGTGTTATATTTGATCAGGATTGATCCTTTAACGCCCACATAAAATCAATTTCAAGGACCGCCTACTTCCATCTACGTAACATTGCAAAAATCAGGAATATCTTGCCCCAAAACGATGCAGAGAAACTAGTCCATGCATTTGTTACTTCAAGGCTGGATTATTGTAACTCCTTATTATTATTATTATTATTCAGCTGATTCAAAATGCTGCAGCTCGTGTACTAACCAGAGTTAGGAAAAGGGACCACATTACTCCTGTTCTGGCTGCCTTACACTGGCTCCCTATAGAACACAGGATAGAATTTAAAATTCTTCTTCTCGCCTACAAAGCCCTTAATGGGCAGGCGCCATCTTACCTTAAAGAACTCATTATACCCTACTGTCCTACTAGGGCATTGCGTTCCAAGAATGCAGGGTTGTTGGTTGTTCCTAGAGTCTCTAAAAGTACAATGGGAGCCAGAGCCTTTTCTTATCAAGCTCCACATTTGTGGAATCAGCTTCCAGTTTGTGTTCGGGCGGCAGACACCCTAGCCGTTTTTAAGAGTGCGCTTAAGACTTTCCTTTTTGATAAAGCTTATAGTTAGGGCCGATTAGATTCAGCCCCTAGTTTTGCTGATATAGGCTTAGTTTGTCGGGGGACATCTTACTTCTTCCTTCTCTCTGTCTATACCTGTGTACTCTCATGTTCCGATTAACCCAGCTTCCCCAAATTTCTTTCTTTTTGGTGTCTATATACGCCGGGATCCGGAGGCATGGATAATCCTGTTGCTGCGGTCCTGTGTCCTGGATCGCGAGCCCTGGATCTTGAGTCGTGGCTGTGGTCCTGGATCATAGGTCCTGGATGGATATCCTCGTGGATTCATCTTCCTATTATACACACATGCATTTCCAAACATTTGGACTACCTATGTTGCAAATGTATTATCTTTTCAATGTACACACGGTATCTATTGCACGTCTGTCCGTCCTGGGAGAGGGATCCCTCCTCTGTTGCTCTCCCTGAGGTTTCTCCCATTTTTCCCTTTAAACTGTGGGTTTTCTCTGGAAGTTTTTCCTTGTACGATGTGAGGGTCTAAGGACAGAGGGTGTCGTATTGTCATACTGATATTCTGTACAAACTGTGAAGTCCACTGAGACAAATGTAACATTTGTGATATTGGGCTATATAAATAAACATTGATTGATTGATTAGAGGCATAAGCTGCCATACAAAGTGCCACCTGCTCAGAAAAGCTAACATTCACACACACCGTTGGCCATGCCATCGGGAGCCATTTGGGGTTAAGTATCTTGCCCAAGTAAACATCGACATGTTGACTATTAGGGCTGGGAATTGAACCACCAACCAACCTTGGCAGACGACCAACCGCCCCTGGGAAATGTTCCAGGAATTTGATCCAGTTTCGCAAGTTGCATAACACCATGAACTGTATAAATATGTCACATATTAAAAGGCAAACTGTATATTCAGACATGATGAAGTTTGTGGTGCTTGCTCTCTTTGTTGCTGGTGGTAAGAATCTTTCACACACAGCATTGTTACAGCCATCTGTCTGACATACAGTTTGCAGTGTTCTCTTTAAACGCAATGCAGATTAACAGTTTGGTTTTAAGAGAGTTTATGTGTCTGTTTCAGCCTACGGGTGCGGCCAGCCCACCATCGCCCCTGTGGTGAGCAGGGTGGTTGGGGGAGAGGAAGTCAGGCCTAACAGCTGGCCCTGGCAGGTAAAACATGCTCTGAAAAGACAACTGTCTGAAATATACTTATTTTAGACTATTTACTTGATAAGAGTTAAGTAAATTAAAGGTTTATAATTAAGATATACAGTATGTGTTAAGAATTGTCGAATTTTGAAAGAGGCAAGGCAATTTGTGTAGCATCATTTAAAGACACTGCCAATTCGCAGTGTTGTCCATAAAGAGAAGAAATGCATGAAAGTAATGTTTAAAAGACAACAAAAAGGGAAATGTGTTTGAAAAAAGGAATACAAAAACAAAAAGATGAATACATAATTAAACCAGGAAATGTTCAGTCAAAATAAATGAACATTTGGAAGTCAGTATACATTTAATGGAGTATTACCTTCAAAGAAAACGTAAAGAAAGCTGATGATATGATGTTCATATGTGTGTTTTAGATTTCCCTGCAGTACAACAGACAGGGCGAGTGGAGGCACACCTGTGGAGGCACTCTGATCTCAGACCAGTGGGTCCTCACTGCTGCTCACTGCATCAGGTATGAAACAGTGGAGACCAAAACTCTTCATGCAACATATATTAAGTTATTAAATACGTTTTCAATACAGTTTCACTTTATTTAAGAAATTCTTAAAATCTAGCGACCAAATTTAGAACAGCATTTAGTTATATAGGACACTAATTGAGCAGATTGCTAGCTGATTGGTGAATGATATTTTCACTTGACAAAAGATTAAAATGCTTGTTTCCATATAGGCTACAATTCCTGTTTCCTGTTTGCCTAATGATTGTGTTTTACATTTACTAAAGAAAATCATTAGAATATGTAATTTTTTAAGGTGATCTCAAAGCCTATTCATCCCTGCTTCATATTATTCTCTCTGTCAACTTGCAGCAGTGGCAGGGAGTACAGAGTGGCCATGGGAAAGCACAACCTGATAGAGACAGAGCAGAGCGCTGTGTTCATGGGCACCTCTAACATTATTGTGCATGAGAAGTGGAACCCCTTCTTCATCCGGTAAATAAATAACATTTCATTTAGGTTGTGGCTATGAGTTGTGACACTTATTTGAGAATGTATGTACAGTAAGAACGAATCCTAACTTATGTCTCCTCCCCAGTAACGACATCGCCCTGATCAAGCTGGAGTCCCCTGTCTCCTCCTCTGACAGCATCATGGCTGCCTGCCTGCCTGCTGCTGGCTTCACCCTCCCCCATCACGAGCCCTGCTACGTCACTGGATGGGGTCGCGTCTACAGTTAGTGCCCATCTCCTGCCTTTCTTTGAGACAAAATATATAAAAATGTTTATTTAATTGATCACTTGAAATATCACTGGATGAGGAGTAACCGGTTGTTGGAATTAAGGTTAGTGTAAAGTGTATGAGGACGATATAGCATTAATTTATAATTATTAGGCAGAAAACACTTAGTATAACAATACATATAATCAAATAAATCCTATTATTTATTATACCAACAGCTTGTTTAGTGTACAAAGGTTAGTGTACATCTTAGTATTTAAGCCTACATTTTTCGGACACTACAAAAGTAATGTTGATTGATAAGAAAAATATCTGGTATATATATTTATTTGTATCCACGGTTAAACGGTGGAGAGAAATGATTTGTTTGCCCAAAGTTTCTCACCAGTGTTTAACCTGAGCTGAAGTTGAGGTATTGAGCATCTCTGCCCCTCACAGCCGGGGGTCCCATCGCTGATATCCTGCAGCAGGCCCTCCTGCCTGTGGTGGACCACGCCACCTGCACCAAGTCTGATTGGTGGGGGGCTCAGGTGAAGGAGACCATGGTGTGTGCCGGTGGAGATGGAGTTGTGTCTGGCTGCAACGTAAGTGTAAAACAACACAATATGACACATTGTATTAAAGCACCATTCCAGCATCAGTAAAATGGACACTGATGTTTCTTTAATCTGTAAATGCTGTATTTTTTAAATGATAGTTCAAATGTGTTTTGGTGACTGTTGGTCAAACTCAACTATTGAAAAGCTTTTCAAACGTATCAACTTGGATTTGACAGTGTCAGGAAATTATGTTTGGCTTTTTCTACCAAATCATGGACATTTAATTGTTTAATCTAGAAAATCTACAGATGATTAATAGCTGTAACACATACAGTACATAGGGTAACAGTCGGTACCCTTACTTTTTAAATTTGAGTCCTTTATCTGAGATTCTTCCTATGATACTGTATTCTATTTATCCAAAACTCTTAAAATTATTTCTCCTCATATGTTTCTTTTGTGTCAACAACATCCAGTATTTCAGATAAAGTGATTCAGTTAAAATGTCTAAGATTATATGAATAGAAATGTCTGTAAGTTATCATCAGTAACGTTAGATGTAAACACCAAGAACAGTCACAGAGTGTCTTTCTAGGACAAGACGTCAGTGTTAATTGTGGAGTTTGCATCATATGTTTCCTCTCACATGACTCAGGGGGACTCCGGCGGCCCTCTGAACTGCAGGAGGACTGATGGAGCCTGGGAGGTCCAGGGCATCGTCAGCTTCGGATCCGGGCTCAGCTGCAATTTCCCCAAAAAGCCCACCGTGTTCACCCGAGTCAGCTCCTACATCGACTGGATCAGCTCTGTAAGCTCCGACACTCCCACTAAAGCAAAAAGATTCGTTAAACAATTTTTTGTATTTACTATTATATATTTTTTACTATTATTCACTTTTTCTTATTTTTTTTTCAAGATTATCTGTTTTTATTTTACTGTCAGTGAATATCTTCTGGGTTCATATACTGTCGTATGCGCTATAATATGTTTTGTATACATATTAGAAAGAATCTGGATACATTTAATAATCCTACTTTTGCTTACAACATCACTCTGCACTAAATCTAACACATCTATCATTTCTTCCACAGAAAATGGTGGCCTATTGAGAGGACAAGCTTTTGGCATCAGAGCCATTGTGCTCATGTCAAATAAAAATAAAATGTGGAACTATAAATCAAAAATAGTGTCTTCTTTTATGTTTTGTACAGTTTTTGCCTGGATCTAAATGTACTTTTATTTTGACATACAGTATATAAAACAGTATACTTAAAAAGTACAACGCATCCAATGTTTCCAAACGAGGCTAGTGCTGGGAAAATCCATTCGGTAACCACATGCTGTGTTCTCAGACTCCACCGCTTGTTTGACTTTCTGCATGTGACAGCCAAGTTATCCAAAAGTTGATAACATTCAGTATAAATGCACGCCTGTTTTTAGCACAAGGTTTAAGCCTACACACACCCTACAGTCATGAGGAGACTGGTGGTCTTCGCTTTTTTGGTAGCTAGCGGTAAAACAGTTTTAATTCTCTAAGATAAATTACTCATTTTCTGTAGCAGAATCTAAGTGAATAGTCCCTTATCATTATTTATGTTTCAAAAGGGACATAATGTACAATGCAGAGAACAGAGTATTGTTGACATGTGCCTTTTCTTTTATATAAAATGTGAATCGTTTAAGAATCACCAAACCTTAACTGAAGTAAATTCTCGACTATAATTAATCCAAAATGTATAATCACCTACTCGACATGTTTAGCCTGGTGCGAGAATCACAATAAACCTTCCTCACCTTGTCCCAGCATACGGATGTGGCCTCCCCACCTTCCCCCCTGTGCTGAGCAGGGTGGTGGCAGGAGAGGACGTCAGGCCTCACAGCTGGCCCTGGCAGGTAAAGAACGCAATAAATATTGAAAAAACGTTCACTCTGACAACTACAGAACACAGAAAACACTACATTATTACCACTACAGATACAAAAGTGACACCATATTTACAAATGTACACTATGAATCTTTTTTTTGTTCTGCTGAATTCCTGATAATAAGTTCTCCTCCAGAAAAGACATAGAGGGTGGAGAGATTAAATGAATATGTAGCTTGTTGAAATTGAAGAGTCATTATGCATGCACACTTGTCCCCTCTCTCTGCTGTGCTCAGATCTCTCTTCAGTCGGACGGCAGTGGGCGCTGGAGGCACGTCTGTGGAGGGACCCTCATCTCTTCTGACTGGGTCCTCACTGCTGCTCACTGCATCAAGTATGTCAAAATGCACCCTGAAGGAAAGGTTGTGAATAATCACAGTTAAAATACAGCATGATATTGATTAAAGGCTTTAAAAACCACGAAAAAAAGAAAGAAAAGGAATATTTTCCTCACAAAATGACCATTTGTAATAACCCACCACATGTTAGTTAGTATCCTAGAAGAAAGAGACGTTTGCTTCTTGTATGCCTCCCCTGTAAACCAACAATCCAAACATAGAGCAAAGTCTTGATGAATGGAAGAAAATGGGAGGTGTGTTCAACAACAGCAAAACTATTTCAAAACATCTACTTACAAATGTGTATACAACTTGTGCACACTTATCCAAGTCTTAAAACGTTCTAAACACATGCATTTTTGCTAAATATCAACACAGTTAGAAACTTCCGGACTGGTCCCAGACTCACAGGGAGAAATGCAAAAGTGTTTAAAATAGTAACGTTTTGTTGAAAATGTATGGGTTTAGAAGTATTAAGCATACACCTGACAAATAAAATAAAAAGTGTTTATTGGGGGAGGGCAGGAATGTCAAATGGGAGGGCCTTGGCCACGGCGCCGGGTCTGTATTGCACGTGTTGTGTGAGATGTTTGGATATAGTTTTACTGTTGAACACAGCCCCCATTTACTTTAATTCATTTTCTGTTTTTAAATTCTTCGGCATTCACAAATAACACATATTCCTCAAGAATTGGAGTAACAAAGGGTGTGTAATTGATATACAAAAGATATTTTTGGATGCAAAGTATTCTAATTTGTTGAATTGATAACCTGTGGAAGTTGTATACAATCAAGAACAGTCCCTACTAATCATAATCAACTAAACTCTAAATGTTTTTACATGCCCAGTTCAAGAATAGCATTTATATTTATTATGCCTAACCAAAGAAATACTCCTCTGCCCTACAGGGGATTATGAGTTTTGCTTTTTTTTGGTAATGTGAGAGATGTTGGGTTTGGGAATGAACAGAAAAGCAGGGTATTTCAGTAAACAACAGGGCCACCATGCCTGGACCAAATATATAAGAGAATGGTATTTAGAGAAGTTCAAGAAGTTGTTCCTTCATTTTTAAAATCAGAATCTTAATACAAAAGTAGGATAACTATAGCCTACTGTAACATTACCGTTTTAAAATCGGTTAAAAACAGCTTGGTCTCCAGGCATTACCTCTACAGGACTACCAAACATTTGCAGTAGGCTACACCGTGGGCTTAATCACAGGTTGCGTTCCAATAGTCCATTTAGCTTAGGAACCTTCCTAACCAAGTGAAATGACCCGGAAGTACGTCAGTGGCAGCCATGTTAAGTGCCGTTCCAATTCTCCAAATGAAAGGAAAGGAGGTTTCAAACTTCCTTTATAACCTCCTTTAGCTTAGGAACCACTGGACCTCCCTTGACGAAAGGAGAGGAGAAAATGCTGCCCCACAATGCATTGCAGCCGCAGCATTTGCCGTCACTCAACAGTCGGCCGTTCACGGAAACAACCGATTATGACCGAGAAATGATATCATGAAAGTTACGGTGCTTATTAAGCTTTTTAAAACGTATGTGGTAAGTTGCCAAAGTGCTTTTTTCTGAACGTTCATCAGTATTATAATCAAAAAGAGAAATATGAATGTTAGTTTTGACTGAAATGATCAAATAAAGTCAACATCTCACAGTCTTCACTGAGCTGTGTGGGGTTTGTTCAACTTTTAAAAGATGTTTGAATGGTGATATACACAGTGATAGATGTTAAGGACTAACATTTATAATAAATACATTTGTATTGATTTTAAGATATTTTCATAGTTCATACAATCATACATATTGGGATCATTTGTATTAATGTGGACCGGAGGGAGAGGGTGACGAGCATAAGTTTCACTTTCCTTTTTTATTTCAATTCCAACTTTGGTCATGAAGAATATGTTTCTCTGTTGTCCACGTTCATAAAGCATAAAGCAACAGCATCAGAGCACGGTGCAGAATCTCTAGATGAGTTTACAGTAGTCCCTCGTTCTTATTAAACATCCATGTTGTAGTCCGCTGTATAGAAAACTGTAGTTTCCATAGTTTCCCCACAGCAGCAGACGCACATTTATGACGTCCGCTGGCGCATCATAAACACCTCGGATAGTGAAAGTGCATTCGGATTCTCTAAAGTACCGCGGTCTCTTCTCCTAAGTCCTTTTGAATTCTCCTATCCACTATCCCTTAACCCCGTGACGTTTCACTCAGAGGTCAAGGAATAGGAGATAGGGTTAGAATTTAGGAGTTGATTTTTGGATTATCGGAACGCAACCCCGCAGTCTCTTCTCCTAAGTCCTTTTGAATTCTCCTATCCACTATCCCTTAACCCCGTGACGTTTCACTCAGAGGTCAAGGAATAGGAGATAGGGTTAGAATTTAGGAGCTGATTTTTGGATTATTGGAATGCAACCACAGTATTGTCCACACAGGTGGGAAAGTCAACACTACTGTCTGAACCGCTTGTCATCTGCCATCCCACAGTGACCGCTACAACTACAGCGTGGAGCTGGGTAAACACAGCCTGAAGACCACCGAGGAGGGCTCGATAACGATAAGTGCAGCCACAATTATCAGTCACGACGACTACAACACCATGCTCAGCCGGTAATACACACTCAACAGCTCAATAACACCTCAGGAGTCCTGAGCCTCATCCCAATACCCCTCCTCTACTCCTCTCTCCCCCTCCTCCGGGACTTGACCCGGAAATCGATCAAGACACGCCATTTTGAAGGACATCCCAATAGCTGAAATGCACGTTCTTATTATACATCCATGAAACTATAGGTTACTTACGTAACCCCAGTTCTCAGAGTAAAATGTAGTGAGATGTCTCACTATGGGATGCGCCTCATCGCGGAGCAAACAGAAGCATCAATCTCATTACGCCAATCCTGATTGGCTGGTGATCTTGACGTCAGCGTCAGGGAATCCACCCCCTATAAGTAGCTTGCGCTACGTCGCATGCGTCATTCAAAATAAGCACCTCTTCTCGCTTCACCATAGCAAGGAGGGCCGTCTGGTGAGACATCTCACTACATGTTACTCTGAGAACTGGGGTTACGTAAGTAACCTATAGTTCTCATTCATAACACTCCGTTCGATGTCTCACTATGGGATATTGTAGCTCCCGTATTGCCAGACGAGCTTATCTCGAAATTCACCAAACCAACCAGAACTTAACAGGTAGAGCTCTGACTCAACAAGGTGCCCAGCACTGCTCGGGCCACACTAGGAGCAGAGACGTCTAGCCTGTAAAAGCGGACAAAAGTGAGCGGCGAGGACCAGCTCGCTGCTGCACAAATGTCTTGGATGGAAACACCCTTGAACAAAGCCCAGGATGTAGCCAGACCACGAGTCGAATGAGCACGCAGACCCGAAGGTGCCTGCAAACCCTGACTCGTATAGGCCAAATCAACTGCCTCCACAATCCAGTGGGAGAGCCGTTGCTTAGTAACGGGCTTGCCCTTCTGAGGGTTAGCCCAGGACACAAAGAGTTGGTCATTATGACGAAACTCTTTTGATCTGTCCATATAGGTGCGTAAAGCACGGACTGGACACAGCAAATCCAGGAACACAGTGGCGGAGGAAATGCCTCAATGTCAATTGGGGTACATGAACCAACCACCTTAGGTATAAAGGCAGGGTTGGGCTTCAACAACACTCTCGTTTGCCCTGGGGCGAACTGAGTGCATGAAGGATGTACAGATAGCGCATGAATGTCACTGACTCGCTTGGCGGATGCCAGGGCCAGTAACAGCACTGTCTTGAGTGACAAGTGCTTCATGTCAGCTTATTCAAGGGGTTCAAATGGGGTTAGAGTGAGCCCATCTAAAACCACTGCCAAGTCCCATAAGGGCACCAGTGACCTGGAAACAGGGAGGAGCCTGCGAGCCCCTTTCATAAAACGGCAGACCAAAGGATGTTGGCTAGCCGTCTTTCCCTCAAAGCCCACATGGCATGCAGCAATAGCAGCCAGGTACACTTTGATCGTAGAGAAAGCTCTGTGTTTATCAATTAAGTCCTGTAGAAATGATAAAATCACCCCGACAGGACATTGAAAAGAGATGTGTCCTTTTTGAAGGGACCACTACTCAAACACCCTCCACTTACAGTCATAGAGAGACCTGGTGGAGGAAGCTCTCACACTCTGAATAGTGTTTATCACCTTCTGAGGGAGTCCCACTGTATTCAGATTGTACCACTCACGGGCCAGGCCCATAGTGCCAAGCGCTCTGGGTGTGGGTGATCGCCCCCCCCCGCCTGAGACAGTATGTCCCTGCATAGTGGGAGCTGCCACTGCTGCCTGCACAGCAGCTGATATATCTCCGCCAGTCAGTACATTGCGGGCCAGTGCGGAGCTATCAGGATAAGTGTGTGGCGTTGTTCCCTCACTCTGGCCAGAGTTGGGGGTTTCAGAGCCAGGGGTGGGAACGCGTACAGAAGGCCCGGAGGCCAAACGTGCGCGAGCGCGTCCACGCCTAACGGTGCGTTTAAATCGCGCATTGAAAAGAATAGCTGACATTGAGCATTTTCTTTTGATGCGAACAGATCTACCGCGGCTCTGCCGTAACGCACCCACAGCTGACTCACAATCCTTGGATGTAGAGTCCAGTCTGCATATAGTGGTGCACCTCTGGACAGTAGATCCGCCCCGAGGTTCATCACTCCTGGTACGTGCGTCGCTCTCAGAGAGAGGAGACGTCTGCCGCTCCATAAGATCAGTTTGCGTGCCAGCATGTGTAACTGGAGAGAACGCAAACCCCCTTGGCGGTTTATATACGATATTGTGGTCGTGTTGTCTGTCCTCACGAGGACATGATGTCCTCTGAGAAAAGGCAGAACGTGTTTTAGGGTGAGGAACACCGCTAAAAGCTAAAAGGTAATGTATGTGCGCCCGCTGGAGGTCTCTGCTCCAGAGACCCCTCACCGGACGACCTTCGTAAATACCTCCCCAGC